AAAAAGAAAAAAATTCGATTTGCGGTAAAACCTTTTTTTAGGGATAAAGAAGCGGTGATCTTGGCAGTGTCGACGACTCTAGTAAAGGAAGGAGATAGAAAGAGATAGAACCATTCATGAATCGATGTTGTGTAGGAAACTCCTGTCAGAAGGACATCAAAGCGTGACCGGATTTGTCTCGTTCTCGCTGGACACCGGCCACGATTCTCTCCGATCTTCAATCGTTTTTTTTTTCTTTTTATTATTTTCTACTTATTTTCTTCGTTTCTCTATCTCTCTTAACTTCTTTTTTTGTTTGTTAATTTTCTTGTTGTTTTGTTTCCTTTCTTACTATCTAACTAATCTTTGCTTTTACCTCTTCTTTCGTCTCTTAGTCGTCGTAGTCGTCGTCGTAGTTGTCTTCCGTTTCCGCTAGACGGTAGGTAAACTTCTTTTCTACGGAAACGCGACTATGTTTCTTCCGTTTCTTCGAGCCAACGTAATTAAACTTAAAATCGTCCGCTTTTCATCGTCCCTTATCCGAAGAGTGCGAGCTTGGAGATTGGTAAATGGATGGGAGGAGAAAAGTAAAAGGTAGAAAAAGAGGTAGGATACTTTGTAGACGTCAAGCTGTCACGCACAGCCCGTGGCCGTAGGTCGGATGCTACGAGTCACGCTCTTATCCTTGAGAAAAGTTAACCCTAAGTACAATCCCTTTTGCATCATTCTCTTCCCTTTTCTTCTTTCATTCTTTCTTTCTTTCTTTCTTTCTTTCTTTCCTATCTATCTACTACCACTACTTACCTACCAGCCTACCAACCAACCAACCAACCAACCAAGCAATCTTCTCACTCTTTATATCGCGCTTTTTCTTTCATCCTTTTCCTTCCTACGCTATATATCGTGGCTTTATGCCACGTTAACGGGCAAACACGATCTTACACGCGATCGGCGTTACTTGAATATCGAAACCTAGTCTGTTAGCTAATTGTTTCGCCGAGTAAAATGGAACGTTGGTAGTCTCGCTGTTGGAAGTCTCGTCTTAAGTGATTTAATTACCGCAACGAGATATATTACACGATTTTAATTACACGATTCATCGAACGAACGATACAGTAGGATAGTTATCCTTTTAGAGAATCGTTAAAAATACCTTTAACAGAGAAAGAGATAGAGAGAGGAAAATACTGTGAAGAAATTAAAGAAGGAAGCCGTTATGAGAGAAAGATCGATGAAACTGAAAACCATAACTTTGGAAATATCGAATTTTTTTTTTTTTTTTTTTTCAATTGAAAACACGAACAACGGGAAGACGATTTTTATATACTATGGTGTCATATCACGACGTTGAAAATTGGGATGAAGAATGGGATCATCATCTGATGGGGTATTCGTTCCGCCCTATGGGTGGTATCCCACTACGAATTGCTACGAACGCAAGAAGAAGAAGTTGCACGAACATGAAACGAATGCCACGGCTCGTCGATTATTTCGAACGTTCTTGCGGCATTCTTGTTTTGTCGTTCGACCTAACGAAAAAATTCCTACGTTCATTGGCAAAAGGGAAGTTTTATAAAGCTATAGGAAGGTGTATCATATAAAACGTAGACGGGAAAAAGAATCTCCCAAAAATAATAAAGAACAAAAATATCTGACAATCATACGGGAAAAATAAAAAGAATTAATGGGCAAAAAATCCGTCGAATGTTGCGTGTACCTTTGGCAATAAGAATTCGTCTAGTAACTTTTAGAAATGTATCACATCTAACACACAACAATTCTCATACCATTCTTGTATCCTACCATCTTTTCTTAAAAGTCCAATATGACGGTCTTTGATCTTCGTCTTGAATCTAGTACCTTATAAGGTAATGATTCATTTTCCAAGCTAATTTGCGCAATAACCCATTATAATGGTCTGAAAAGGCCTCTAACGGGCAGCTTCAAAGATTCCTATGAAACAATACCGTTCTCTCTCTCTTTCTCTCTCTCTTTCTCTCTCTCTCTCTACGAAGACGTAGCAACTCATTCGTTGTTTAATTAATGCTCACAGTCCGCTCGCTCGCGCGCGCGCGCACTCGCGCTCTTCTACGGCCAGCGTAGTTTATATTAATTACACCCCGGAAGATTCAATTAGTACGCCTCTTATTACACTTATACGGGTATTCATTATTCACGAGGAACCAGTACAGTGTGGTTGCTGTGCCAGCTGACAATGCAGATTGTATTTTTAATTCTTATTCAAAGGAAGAAAGAACTTGAGAAAAGTTTGATAACAAAAATTGCAAATTGCAATCATTGGTCGAGTCGGGTCGGGAAGGCACTGACCGACCCTTTAAACCTCACCCCCTCCCCTCTCTCATAGATTAATTTAACAATCTTTTTACTAATCACGGTATTAGTCATCGAATTTTTACAAATGTTTTTGTGTTCCTTGTGTATTAGCTCAAATTTGTTTGATTTTTTCTTTTTCTTTTTTTGGGGGGGGGAGGGGATTTTCAATTACCTTGAACGCAAATGTTTTTTTTTTTTTTTTTTTTTTACCAAAACGATACGCGGTGGGTGAATATTTGCTCTCTTCTCTTCTCTTTCTCTTCACTTCTCTTCTCTAAATTCTTTTATTTTGAACACACTGTGCGATGGGCATTATTCGTGTTGTCGATAACAGGAACGTTAACGCTAACGAATTGTCGAGTGCACGAAACCACTACATTTATTGCTTCCATCGAGGCGCATTAACGTTTTACCCTTTCGTTTTAACGAATGCCGTAGTATAATCTCGGAAACGTGAAATCTGCGTACTATTCTCTCTCTCTCTCTCTCTCTCTCTATCTCTATCTCTCTATCTCTCTCTCTCTCTCTCTCTCTTTCTCTCTCTATTACGTTTTAATGGATATTACCGAGATTTAATCTTTTTTTTTTTTTTTTTATAAACTTTGCGCAAGTCTTATCCAAAATAGATGATAACGAAGATTAAAAATGAAAAGATATGCTATAATAAGCAAAAGGAATCGTAATGGAATGAAGAGAAGAATTATATAACGAGTTGGATAGATATTGCAGATGAGAAGTGCATTTAGCGATTACCAAGATTCCCGTGCTTCTCGTTTCTCTGATCGATATTCATTAGATAAAAAGAATTAACTTGGAATCAGTGTCGCGTTAAAAAGATTTGCATCGATATCCTCATCCTTTAGACTCTTAATCTAATTCCGATCACATTTTATTCAAGATCCATGCTAGTTTGTTGTAAAAAAAAAAAAAAAAAAAAAAAAAAAAAAAAATAAAAAAACAAAGAAAAAAATTTCTCCTTCGATTATAATTTTATTCTTCTCTGGAAAAGGGATCGTAACGTAAACGTTTCTCTCTTCTCTCTCGCTCTCTTCGAAAGTAATAAAATCGATAGAAACGTTTGCTCGAAAAATTAAGTACGTATAAACGAGTACTACTACTTTTACTATTACTATTACTACTACTACTTCTTCTCTTCTTACTTTCCATTGAAAAAGATTCGAACGTTTCAACGATGAGAGAAAACCGTCTCGGTATCATTCGCTGTACGATGGAAAAAAAAAGAGATAGAATAGAAAAGATAAAGAAAAAAAAAAAAAAGGGAAATAGAAAGAATGTTAAAAAAGAAGAAAATGAAGAAATAACCTCGTTATATTTTTTTTTTTTTTTGATAAATAAAATAATAATATTTTCATTGGTAAAATGTTCAATTATGTTCTTAGAATAAATGACAATTATTCAATATCATCGAAATGTGAGATATTTTAACTTCTAATTATGATTTGATCTCTTATATTTTTAGATTTGTTATAAAAGATTAGTATCCAATTTTTTTTTTAATTTTTTTTTTTTTTTTTTTTACAGCGATAAATTAAGAAAATAAAATTGATATGATGCAAACGTACATTTTTTAAATCGTTTTATTACGAATTTTTAATGAAATAAAATATCAACGATTGAGAGGAATCTTTTAACGAGTAGAAATATTACGTCAACCGTGAAATTATAAATCGAATTATCGATTGAAAAGATAAAAGAAGATATAACGAGAGGATATTTTTTTTTGTTCGTAAGACCTCGGACATATTTACATAAGTTAACGTACGCTGTAAAAGATCGTAAGACGGTAGTTATTATTCTTCTCGCGTATCATGGAACGCGCGACTATGTCTGACACGCGTCGGTCTCTTTCCACTTAGAACCATGAACCGCTGTCTCCGCGTTGCGTTTGCATTGCTAAGCATCTTGATTCTCATTCAATGGAAAAAAAAGAAAAGAAAAAAAATAAAGAAAAAAATGGAAGAGTCATGAAAAGCCATTTAAAAATCTTCTCATCGCCTACACATATCATCGTCCACTTTGCTTATTTACTTCCTATAATTTTATATTTCTCGTATAAATTTTTAATTGAGTTTACTTTAGTTTAAAAAGGGATCAGAAGAAAGAATATTTCTCAATGAAAATTATAATTGAATAATTATTATCAAATAACCATGATACTTTTTCTTACAATCCTTTTAACTTACATTATCGTTCTAGATGATCGTAATACCATTCGAGAATTTCTTTTCAATTTACTTTTACCGGAATAATCATTAAACGTTACGAAGTAAAATGACCTTATACATCCCGAAATACGGCTTCTCTTCTACGTTCTCCAATTTCACATAGGAATACTTAAACAGATCTCTAGTAGAATATTCTTAGCGATGCATATATACATACAACTAGATATCGTCGTCGTAACATAAAGTCAAGTAAAAGAGGTCTACTACTAAACTAGGTTCATAGCGGAAGAAGTAGAATCGTATAATAGTAATAGTAATAGTAGTAGTAGTAGTAGTAGTCTCTTGGAATCGTTGATGTTTCTTTAGTTACCTAGAGTTTCCCTCCTGTCCCTTTAATATATACCATGACTCCTCCTACGTCCCTTTAACCCGTTACGGGGCCGTCCCCAACAGTTCGTCCGCCGGCTAACAGTTTCCCGGTCGATAACGATTCAATCTTACCTGGATTGCTGTCGGCGTTAGAGCTGAATAGGACGCAAAGACCGGTCTCGTAGTTGACCGCCTGGCAAGAATCGTTCGCTTGACAGGTTTCAAGACAGTCGGTGAGCATCAACGTTCCCGGTATGGACTCGAGCATGTTCGTGGGCGCGGTGTATACATAGCCGGTGACCAACTCAAACCCGACCATCTCTGGATCGCATTCGTCCGCACCGGCTGACGGTCCGGTATAATCCGGGCCTGATACGCTAGTGGGTACCGATGCCGGGGGCGGTGGATCAGCCGCGTGAGCGGTTTCCACTGCCTCGGCCACGTGTACCACATGCCCGAACCGAATGCTCGCTTGTAGAACGAGCAATAAACCGAGCACTTGTCGATTAATGCACTGTCTTCTATTAGTCATCCTGATTGATATTTGATTAACCTTATCCTCTTCGAACTTTTCTTTTATTCTTGATTATGTAATCTGTAAGAAACAACAAAAGAAAAGAACAAAAATCATTGGATTAATCCGATTTGTGGTTGGAGATTGTTTTATGATTTATATTGAATTGTATATATGAAAGATAAGATAGATGGATAGTTAGATAGATACATAGATAGATATAAAGAAAGAAAGAAAGAAAGAAAGAAAGATAGAATAAAAAAAACATGTCTTTCCGTAAAATTAAAGCAGGTCGAAGTCGCTCGCGCGAATCGAGTTGAACGAGAAGTTAAGGACGTAGAAAAACATGTCGAGAGAGAACTCGATCCGCGAGTTTATGCTCCGTAATCGACGTCCATCCGCCATCGGCGCGTACAACGAGTGCGTGCTAGGGAGGACGATCGCGTGAACGTCGTCGACCTCATTCCAACCAAAGGGAACGCCTTTGAAGAAATATACCGACTTCATTTCGTGAGCTGCTCTTCTTACACGCATTCAACTCTTAAATTTTTTTTTTATTATTATTCTTCAAATTCATTTTTTTCCGCGAAACGTTTATATATGATTTGACAAACGTAAGAAAAAAGAAGGAAGGAAGGAATGGAAAAATCGTACCTACGTGATCGTTCCCTTTTTTTTTTTTATCAAAGGATCGCACGAAATTCTTTAAACTTGTATAAAAGTATGCGTGTTAGGTATATATATATATATATTTCTATTTCGTGTCTTGGTGCGATCGCGATCGGTGTGTCTCACAGGCGGAAACTAAATTCCACGACGAAGTGTTTTCTCACGAGAAGAAGAAGAAGAAGAAGAAGAAGAAGAAGAAGATGTAGAAGAAGAGGAGGAGGTCGTAGAGACACGTTGGAAGGAGAACGTGCGCGCAGGCGTTCGCGCGATTACACACAATGGAGAAACGGTAAAACGCGCACACTGTAAAAGTTGGAACGCGATAGTAACGACAGAGATAGTAATAGTAGTAAATAGTATAACAGCAACAACGACGATGAAGAAGAAGGACAATGTTAAGTAGAAAAAAAAAAAAAAGAAATATTTTTATTTGGAAATAGGACTACCGTAGTTTGACAGCAACCAGTCAGGAACGTGGTACAATTATTTGTTTATCACGCACGCGTGTGCAACCACTTCGAAATCGGGAGACTCGCGGGCCCCTCGACGATTTGCAATGGAAATCTATATATATATATATAGTATATATATATATATGTTGTTCCCCACGAGATGTCGCGGCTTCTTTGCCGGTATTACAAGAAGCCTAACTACGAGTGAGTTAGGTACGGAGCTACTACTAAGCGAACGAGAGAGGTATAACGATGTCTACCGGCTGGCGGCTCTTAGGCACACTGCGTGTCGGATACACCTGGCCGTGTTCGCTCGGGCTCCTCTTCCTCCTCGAGCGGACCGAAGACGTCTGCCGACTCTTGCGCGCGCGCGCGGTCACGGGGGAAGGGGGATTGGGGCCTCCGGAGGGATCCGATGGGGCCCGGAGGGGGTCCGGACGAGGCTCTTGGGAGGAGGGTATCGGAAGGGGGCCCGAGTACTCCAGCCGCCACTACCGAAGGAGGACAGAACGGTACGCACAATTCGATCGCGACACCATTCAAAACATCGTGTGTTCCTCTTTTCTTCTTCTTCTTCTTTTTTTTTCTTCCCTTTCTCTTGTATCGAACGTTCGTTCTTCGATCACGAAACACGCGTGTTTCGTCGTTCATTGTCGAATTCCTCATTCCTTTTCTTTGTATCTCTCACTTTGGCACGATCATCGGACTAAATTTTATCTAACGGGAACATTAATGAGAAGGTTGTCTTTCTCTCTCTCTCTCTCTCTCTCTCAACCTCGAAACCTCTTTTTATCTCATATATTTTGTCTGATCGTTTCTTTCTTCACTTTACTTCGCCTTTATTTTTTGTTCTATCTTATCACTTTTATTCTTCTTCATTTTCGTTGTCTCTTTCTTACTTTAACTTTTAACTTCAATACTCGTTGCTATCGCTTACGTGAATCGAAGGAGTATTCGAGGAACGGTATTTTCGTTGACCGTTTGTCGCATTGTAACACCACGATCACTGCAAAGATATTCGTGTCGATTTTATGCGTGGGCGTTTCGAGTTCTCTGAACTCTAATGCTTTCTCATAGATTTGACCTCGGCAATGGACAAGAAGATATTTAACTTGAACTTGGTGCGACTATGATGACCGATCATCGATTTTTCCTCAGTCATAGTTTGCCCACACGCATTTCATTCGAACGGACAGACGCATGATAATAATTGTACTACCGGTTGGTATTATTAATAATAACAATAATTATAGCGCTAATGATCTTTTTTACACGTGTACTACAAATTAAACGTACCTAGTTGTACAAAAAAAAAAAAAAGAAATAAAGGAAAAGAAGAAACATCATTAAAGAAGTTATATACCCATCTTTGAAACGCGTTTTCTCGCACGGCTAAAGTAATATTAATAATAATAATAATAATAATATTAATAATAATAATAATAATAATAATAATAATAATAATAATAATAATAATAATAATAATAATAATGATTATTATCGCAAGAGCTTTTATTGTACGTGAAAGCAAAACGACATGGATATTCGCTCGGTCAAAAGGGCCCTTTACAATCGTAATTAATAATCACTGGCAATCGGCTTTGTACGGAATAACAAATGACTTCAACGTCTGGCAATTTTTCATATTCCGTCTGAGACCATCGCATATCGTAGTCATAGGTACTGCATAATTCGGTGCATTCCTCTAAGCGTTACGAGCTAAGCGCTGCTTTCTCTGTCTCTCTCTCTCTCTCTCTCTCTCTCTCTGTTCCTATCTCTCTTTCCCTCTTTCCCTCTTTCCTAACTCGACCACATTGTGGCGGAAGTTCGACCGTTCGTTTTGGAGAGCACCGTTGCACCGAATCGGCTGCAAAATTAATTTATTTCGCGGGTGCCCTAGGAACGTTAGCTCGTTAAGGACTTTGGAATACGCTTAATCCTGTGAGCGGCGTGAAATAACTCGACATACTCTTCGCACTTCACGGCAAAACGGAGTAGAAAGAGGAATGATTTGGTGTTGTAAAAGCAATTCCTTCACAATGTAGTTGCTAAACGATAAATGTGCTAGACACTTTGGAACTTGAAACGATGTTAGATCAAAATTTATTTTCAATTGTCATAAAATTGTCAAAAAAAGAAAAAAAAAAACGAAAGAAAAATAAAAAAAAAAAAAATAAAACACAAAGAAAATAAATGAAATAAAAAAAAAAATAACTAAGTAACCCTAAACTACTATTATTATAATAATTATATTCTCAATCTAGTTTCTTGCCGAAGAATATGGAGAATAGCTATACTACGTTGCTATGGCGGTATCTAGACGTTAATGATCTCTACCGTAGTGTCGATAATTACAACTTCAACTTTTCTTCATCGTCTAACTGGTTCGTAGAGAGAAGAGGTAAAGTTTAAAAGGGAGGAAATGAAGGAAGCCAGCCGCCAGAGCAACCCGAAGAAGCTTCGAGGAAAACCGAGGGAAATGGGAAAGAAGGCAAAGAGAGCAGAATGTCGGATGCACGTGTGAACATTGCGACCCAGCATTAGAAGGAGGCATCAGGCAGTGTGTCTTTGGTTATGGTCTTGTGTTCGAACCATGTGCGGCTGCTGCTGCCGTAGTTGCCGCCACCGCCGTTGCCTATATTTATTCGAGAGAGAAAGAGATAGATATACGAAACTCGTTGGATAAACAAGGAAGAAGAATGAAGAAGAAATGGGAGGGAGAGGAGGAAGCATAAGAAAAAGGTCGGGGAAGCGAGAGTGGGAGATGGAGTGTGAAAAGGAAAGAGAGGAAGAATAAAGGATGGATAGAGAAAGGAAGAAAGAATGAAAGAGTGAGAGAGAGAGAGAGAGAGAGAGAGAGAGAAAGAAAGAGGTAGGGCGAACGGAACTCGTACCAGGTGCCTACGCCATCGCGTCACCACGGTTCTCGGAGTAACGGTTTCTGCATGTCCCATTGGGTTCAATTGCGATCTCGAGCCGTGGAATTTCGCCGGAAAACGATCGTTTCAATGACTCGAGAGAGGTGGTACGAAAGGAAAGAGCTTCGGATTTACGACCGACCGCTATCCGTACGCCCTTGAACGTCCGTTCGACCCAATGTCCTGCTCTCGACCTGTTCCCCTAGGATTTTATTCGTTCAAAAGAGAAATTCAAAGATATCTATACAAATATTATTCCTYTTTCTTTCTTTCAATTATTTTTAATCAAAATGTTTAATTACGAGCAATGGAATTCAATCGACGACATTCTACATTTTTTTTTCTTTTTTTATTTCTTTTTCTCTTTCTGTTGATTTAACGAGTATTATTAGCATTACTGAACTTCAATCGAGTTTTTACTCCCATTTGAAAGTCTTCTTCTTTTCCAGTTTCCTCATATAAGGCGTTCTCTTCTTCTCTTGTCATAGACAAAATGAAACGATGATCATGTTCGTTAGTAGTTTGAAGGGATAAAGAGTATTATAGTACTATGAAGAAGAAATGGAAACTCGTTAGAGCTTAACTTCATGTATGCCTTTCAGAATCGTTGAAAATTCTACGGTATTTAACGTACGGGCGCGTTCGTCGATTATTATTATACCTTTGGGTGGACGTAAGAAACTTAGAACGGAAGCGGATGAAATCTTTCTCTCCTGTGTGGGCTAGCTCATTTCAAATGTAACATGAAATGAGAACGAACACGACGTATCTCTCTCTTTTTTTTTTCATTTACATTTTCTATCTCTTTCTTTCATTTTACGTGCCAGTGAACTTTTGCTTGGATGAGTAAAAGAATGAAAAAATCTATAGGAATAGAATGAAAAAGAATTTATATTTCCCAAGACTTCTTCTAAGCCTACGGCGTCGTAAAGTTTCGTTCAATTATGTGACACGAGTCATGTATATAAAATATCTGTAT